TGCAAGTCGTCCCCGTGTCTCCCATGCTATCCGAGCTGCCTGTGCCACCAGTCTTAAGTGGGCCTCCCATTTCGCCAAGAAGATCTCAAAGGCAGCATCCACTGCATCCGCAGGCTCCAAAGGTGAGTGGGTCGGGTGCTGTTGGCTCTGCAGGGTGGGACCCTGCACCGTGCTGTCGGCCATTTTGGTTGGGCCTCGTGGCATCCATCGATCAGGGTTGCGCCCTGGAGGTCCCGAAGGTGAGCGTTATGTGTGGGTAGGTGGACCGGGATATCTTCTCTTTGTAAAGAAAGACAATATTCTGCATAATTTTTAAATCTTATGTAGAAAACAACAACAACCTTCTCATATTAGCAATGATGTTGTACATGCTTAATGAAGCTTTTCCAAAGATTTTCAGGAGAATCTAAAACTTAATAAAAGAGGTTACATTGCTCACCTGACAATAGCGCAAAATCCACCAACAAGTAATCAATTTCTCCACACAGTATACAAAGGCCTCTGAGATAATTGTGAAGCAGCAAACTACATGGCCAGCCTCTTTCCCATCATCTCTAATGTATATATTACAATTATTCGGTCTGTGAAGGTAGATTATCTTCTCTCTACTTTGAACCTATTTGATAAAGCAGAACAACAACCCTCTGAAAACCCTAATGTTATAACCCACACACTTATAGACAAAAGAAATCCACTACATTTAAAGAAGAAAACAACTAAAACCTCTACAGTTAACAGGATGTCCTCTCAAGCAGTCCTCAGAATGTGAATCACATATCAAAAGACGGAATCCTCATTTTACATAAGTCACTTTTCAATCACATCAGCTTTTCTTGGTTGGTTTATAAATTTTCTCACAATGTTACGTTTCTTCTCCTACATCAACAGCTCTTCCCTGACTCCTCAGGAGACTCTAAAACTCATTAAAAGAGGAAACATTGCTCACTTGACAATAGCTGAAGATCCACCACCAAGTAATCCATTTTGCCACATAGCATACGGAGGCCCCTAAGATAATTGTGAAGAAGCAAACTAAATGAGAAGACTCTTTCCCATCATCTCAGAACAATCCTCCCACAACCATAATGAAATAACCCACACTTATGGACAAACAAAACCTTGACATTTAAAGAAGAAAACAATTCAGACCTCTACTGTTAATGAGATGTCCTCTGAAACAATCCTCAGATCAATTTCTCATCAGAGCATATGGTGAGTTTTGACATAATTGTGAAGCAGCAAATTACACAACCAGGCTCTTTCCCATCATCTCTTATTTATCATATAATTTCCAATTTTGCTTAAAAATGACATTTTCCTCTAATTTCATTTTTAGGATTCAACGACTCTTAGAACATTTCCTCTTGATAATATAATCTATTGGAGAAAGCAGAAAAAAATCATCCCACAACAACATTGCAAAACTCCCAGTCATGGAGAAAAGAAAAAGCATTACATTTAAAAAAAGAAATTAACACAGACCTCTCTAGTTAGCGGTTATGTCCTCTCAAGCAATGCTGCTCAGACTGCGGATGACAGACCAAACAACAGGATTTCCACATCTCATATATTTCCATAGACATCTCTTTCAAATCACTTCAGCCTTTACATTTATTGGGTTATGGATTTCCTCATCATTTGAAGTGTCTTTTTCAACATCAGTGTTTGTTCCAAAACTCCCCAGGAGACTCTGAAACTCAATACAAGAGGACACATATCTCACCTGACAATAGCTGAAGATCTACCAGCAAGAAGTCCATTTCTCCACACAGCATATGGTGACTTATAACAGATTTGTGTTGAATTGTTTTTATTACGTTTGCATAAGTTAGATATACATACATCAAATTCAAACTTTTACTGCAGCATCGCCTGCGCAGAGGCTCTGCATTTATAACAAAAGTAGTAGGTAATGCGCCTACGCAGAGGCTAACTTTTTTGTTTAATTTCTTTGCTTTATCGTGTCGTAGTGTTCAGTGCGCTGTCCACGTGGTGGCTCGGTTATTTTCATCTTTGGCTTGTTTCAGTATGTCGCTGTGGTTATCTCTCATGTAGTCATGTGTGTGTCAGCATGTGGTGATTGGAGGGTCAGTGGTGTCAAGTGTATGGTTTCCCTGGGGTCTTTAGCAGTAGGTTTTGTGTGTTTTGGTTTTTTTTGGGGGGGGGGAATTTTGTGGGTTTAATCTCTTTTGAGGGCCCCTGTTGGGTGTAGTGTGGCCGTCCTGGATGTCGTCATCTTTGGGTCATTAATTGGCCGTGTGGGCCTGGGTGTTCTGAGTGTTTATTGCTCCGTGGGCCATAACGGTTCGTTCATTGGGTTTGGTTAGTTTGGGGTCTGCTGGTGTCTTTTCTCGTAGTATTCCAGGTCTCAACCTTGCCTGTAATTATTCTTTGCATGGTTAGTCTGTTGCTTGGTCCTCTCCATGGGTTTCGGTGGTGTGTGTTGTGTGGTGTTTGGTTCTCGTTCGTGTGTGTGTGTGTCCCCTGCTTCCCCATGTCTCGGTGTCTGTGGGGGATGTCGTCTGGTATGGTGTCGGGCGTTGCTGTATGGGTATGATCCTTTTGTGTAAGGGTCGAGTGTCAATGGTGTGTCTCATGTTCTCTTGGGGTTGTGTGGGTTGTCTGGGTTGGGACTTGTAATTGGTCGGTGGTTGATTCTTGTGTGGAGATGTGGGTAGTCGTGGGTCTCGGTTTTATATTTTGTGATGGTGATGGTACATTGTATGGCCGTGGGTGATGTGTTTTCTCCTAGCTCTATGCTTGGGTCCCGCCAGAGTGCGGTTAGAGTGGTGCCTTGGTGTGCCTGGGTTTTAGTAGATGGTCGTGGTCCCTGCCCTGTGTCTAGTGTGTTCGTCGAGGTGTGGGTGTCTCGTGGGTCGGTGGGTCCGCGCCCCCCCATCGCCGCTCCTGGTCCGCCGCCCCTCGGGGTCGCACTCCGAGTTTCTCTGGGCCTGTCTGCCTCTTTCTTCTCGTTCTTGCTTATGGTTCGGAGATGTGTTGGAGGATGTCGTCCGAAGTGATGTTCCGGAGCCAGTGGAACCAGCGTTTTGTGTAGTTATCTCTTTGTTTTGGGGTGGTTGCTTTCATGTCTTCGTATGTTCTTATGTCCTCCACTTTCTCCACCCAACGTTGCATGGGTGGTGTACATGTCTGTCTCCAAAATATGGGGATCGTTGCCTTAGCCGCGTTAAGGAGTCTCGGGATTACGGATCTGGTTTAGGTCAGTGTCAGCATGGTGGTGTGGTGGAGAAGAAAGGCGGCTGGCGGTATTCTGTGGTATGGCCTCGTCTGTTATGTCCTGTATTATCCTCCGAATCGTCTCCCAGAAGGGTCTAATACGGGCGCAATCCCACCAGATATGTTTGAAGGTGCCTATCTCTTCTTCGCATTGCCAGCATGTATCCGAGATCTGGGGGTCTATGGCGTGTAGGATTGATGGGGTTATATACCACCTGGTAAGGATTTTATACGAGTTTTCTTGGAGTCTCGCCGAACCCAGCATTTTCTGTACGTGGGTAATAATCTTGTCCCAGTCTGCGTCTGTGAGGGACTCGGGTAGGTCCTCCTCCCAATGCAGGATGCATGGGGGTGCCAGGATATATCTGTTTACTATTATGGCTGAGTAGATCTGTGATATGGCTCGGGCTGGTTCCTGTCTTGAGTGCATAGTTGTTCGAATTGCGTCTGTTCTCGTAGTAGATATGGCTTTTGGGGGATTGATCGGGCGTATCGCGCCATCTGTGCTCTAGCTAGGGTGTGTGTGAATGTGTGTGGTTGATCCGGAAAGAGTTCTATCACTGGGCGGACAGCGAATGGCCGTTGAAGTAAGTCTTTGATTCATAGGGTTGGTATGTGGCTGGTGAGGCCAGGTATTGGGCTTTGATCTCCTGCTGGGAAGTCCGGGTTACCTCTCAAAGGGAGTAGTGGGCCTGGATCTGTCGTTAAGTATTGTTCTGCCCTGTCTGTGCCAGAACCGCATGGTCGCTGCCACAAACGGGTTCAGTACTTGTTTGTGTCTGTATGCGGCTTTCGTAATCCATGGCAAGGTCTTTAGGTCGCATTTGGTAGTGTCTGATTCCAGCTGGGTCCATATCTTCATGCTGCCCTCCACTGACCAGCTCAGGATCCTGTTGAGGTGCGTTGCCTGATAGTATTTTTCGAAGTCTGGAAGCGCCAGCCCCCCTCGGAGTTTGGGCAGCGTCAATTGGGAGTGAGCTATGCGTGGGGATTTGCCCCTCCATACGAACTTGTGGACTTCCGATTTCAAGGTTGTGAAGAATTGATCCTGGGCCAGTATCGGTACTGTCTGGAATATGAAGAGTTTAGGTAGCAGCGTCATCTTGACCGCGTTCACCCTTCCTAGCCAGGAGATGTAGTATGAGTTCCATGTGCGTAATTCTTCCATCGCTTTTTTTAGGACAGGGGTGTAGTTATGGGCATATAGGTCTGCCGGGTTCGGTGTAAGCCAGACTCCCAGGTATCGCATGTGTTGGCCGCACCACCGGTAGGGGTATTGTCGTTGGAGTGTCTGTCTGAGTGTGTGGTTGATGGAGAGGCCTAGGATTTCTGACTTTGAGAAGTTAATTTGGATATTCGAGACTCAACCATATTTTTCGAATTCCGACTGGATGGCTTGCAGGGTCAATTCTGGGGATGTGACTATGAATAGGAGGTCATCCGTGTAGGCCAGGGTTTTGTGGTGTTTTCGTCCTATTTTCATCCCCTGTATATGATCATTATGTCTAATGCGGTTTAGGAAGGGTTCTAGTGTCAGTGCAAAGAGCAGGGGTGATAGCGGGCAGCCCTGCCTGGTCCCATTATGGATCTGGAATGGGTCTGTTAGTGCTCCGTTGATTCGGATACGGGCTGTTGGGCGTGTGTATAGTGCCTTCACCCAGGAGAGGTAGTTTGGTCCGACGCCGAGGTTCTGGAGTGTGCCAAACATAAGGTCCCAGTCCACTCTGTCAAATGCCTTTTCCGCATCTGTAGATAGAAGGAGTGTTGGGGTCTTCAGCGATCTGGCGTGGGCTATGATGTTCAGGGCTCTGATAGTGTTGTCCCGTACCTCTCTCCCTGGGATGAATCCCGTTTGGTCCGGGTGTACTGCCGTGGGTAGGAGTGGTGCTAGGTGCGCCTCGAGGACGCTTGCCATGAGTTTGATGTCCGAGTTTAGTACGGAGATCGGGCGGTAGCTCAGAAAAAGTGTAGGATCTTTGCCCTCCTTAGGTAGGAGGGTGATGTTTGCCGCTGTGAACTTATAACAGATTTGTGAAGTAACAAATTACATAACACAGCTCTTTCCCATCACCTCTTATATATCATATACATTCCTATTTTGCTCCAAAATTACATTTTCCTCCACTTTCATCTTTAGTATTAAAAGAGGCTTTGAAAATGTTGTCTTGGTGATGTAATCTATTGGAGAAAACAAAAAAACAACAACCTTCCCACAACAATATTGCAATAACCAACAGTCATGGAGAAAAAAATACATTACAATGAAAAAAAGAAAGAAACACAGACCTCTCTAGTTAACGGGAAGTCCTCTCAAGCAATCCTGACTGTGGATGGCAAACCAAACAACAGGCTTTCCACATCTCACATATTTCCATAGACATCTCTTTCAAATGACTTCAGCCTTTACATTTGTAGGGTTAAGGATTCTCTCGTATTTTTTAAAAAATATTCTTCTACATCAAATGATGTTCCAAAATACCTGAGGAAACTCTGAAACTCAACAAAAGAGGACACATTGCTCATCTGACATTAGCTGAAGATCCACCAGTAAATAATTAATTTATCCATACAGCATATGGCAACTTTTGACATAATTGTGACCCAAACTTATGGACAAAAAATACATCAAATTTAAAAAAAAGAAAGCAACACAGACCTAGTTTACAGGATATCCTCTCAAGCATCCTCAACCTATGAATCACAGGTCAAAGACATGGGTCCTCACAATTTACATATGTCTCTTTCCAATAAATGCAGCCATTTTTGGTTGATTTATGGATTTTGGATTTTCTCAGACTGGTAAGTGTCTTCTCTTGCATCAACAGCTACCGTATATAAAATTCCCTAGTAGAGTTAGTCAGGTGAGCAATGTGTCCTCTTTTATTGAGTTTCAGATTCTCCTGGGGAGTTTGGGAACAGGTGTGGATGTTGTACGTTTTACGATTGTGCGTTATAACATGATTCTGTAAAACTAATCGTGCCGACCAGCCAGACGCACAGATATCACAAGACTATGATGGCTCCACCGTGTGTACCAGCCCTGGACTTCAAGCCATCCTAGCCAGCCCCTCCGCAGCCTCATGTCTTGCAAATACATTAAGGAATAGGAAGAAAATGGGGGTCTTTTTTGGGAGGAGGTTCTAGTTTTATCAGTAATGGGGTGAGTGGTCCTTAAAGGAACACTATAGTCACCAGAACAACTACAGGTTATTGAATTTGTTCTGGTGAGTAGAATCATTACCTTCAGGCTTTCTGCTGTAAACACTGTCTTTTCAGAGAAAATGCAGTGTTTACATTACAGCCTAGTGATAACTTCACTGGCCACACATCAGATGGCTGTTAGAGATCCTTCCTGGGTCATGGCTGCCTAAAATGCATCCAAACATTCAGTATCTCCTCCCTCTGCATGCAGACACTGAACTTTCCTCATAGAGATTCATTGATTCAATTAATCTCTATGAGGAAATGCTGATTGGCCAGGGCTGTGTTTGAATCATGCTGGCTCTGCCCCTGATCTGCCTCTTTGTCAGTCTCAGCCAATCCTATGGGGAAGCACTGTGATTGGATCAGGCTACCACTTCTGATGATGTCAGCAGACAGCTTGTTTTTCTGAGTCTAACAGCATGCAGAGTTATAGCTTCAGGCTTAAATACAGTAAGATTTTTACTATATTTATGGAGGCATGAGGGCCCCAGGGGGGCTAGATGGTGGTTTTAACACTATAGGGTCAGGAATACATGTTTGTGTTCCTGACCCTATAGTGATCCTTTAAATTACACTTGTAGGGATAGATGCTGCCTGTCCTGTAAGAATACAAGGAGTAAAAACCCTGTTGTGGAATAGCCACTATTCGTATGAAAAAAACAAGCTTTAGTCAATGAGTGCAGATACAACACTTCTTTCTAAAGGTTTCTGACTTAAAAGAGAAAACATATGTTGACTCCTGAGATGCATGTCAAATATCAGGCTCTTTTTCAGAATACCATAATTTCCAACAATGCTTGGAAATTAAATTTTCCCATGATCTTATCTTTTATTCCAATCTAATAAATTAACAGAACCGTCTGTGTCTCACATAGAGAGCACACAACTACCGGGGTCTCTAGTATAACTCTCTGTACCCCACTTCCCCCATCGTATCACCAGGGGCACGGAGGGTACACACATACCGGCTTCACCGGCTCCCCCCCATCAACAGGGGCACGGAGGGGAGTCACATAGCGGCTTTGCCAATATTACCTCAGGGGCATGCCACAGCCGACACGGGTAGTCACTCACTGGGTTGGAGTCCTGCTGGCAGCCACTCGTTGCCAGGTACGCCCCCTCCAAAACTGGCATCGGTCTATTTCCAGCCATCAAGCACGATCACATGACAGCTCTGCCTGCCTCATTAGCAACGGCAGTATAGGCGGGAAACACAAAGGGCAGTACAAATCACATCACTCTCAGCCACACAAGGCCACATAAAGTGAGTGATATAAACCCTGGCAGGGAGAAACAAACGTTCCCACATATAAATCTCACACAACTTATGTTATTAATACTTGCTTAGGTTTTGGGCACATAAGGGGGAATATAGGACACATTTGCTGTGACATTAGCAATGATATTTATAGAGGGTTTTCCCTCTGTGTCATGTTGCATTACGGTATAACTTTAAGCTGCATTATTCAACTCTGCTTTTCAAACAAGTCCAGAGTTTTTTCACCTGATAATCAGGTTACAGGGCAGCACACCACCACCAGGTGGCATGGTTACACATAGTCTCAAGAAACTATCACTGTGTTCAGTGTATGTTTAAAATTTCATTGCTATATCTTAACTAATTTATGTTCTGTGCAGACTGTTCGTGATTTTGGACAGTATGAAGGTTAGTTTTTTTTTTGTTTGTTTTTTTCCAGGTTGCATTAGGTTGTCTAGTTACCAGTATTTTGTCATATTGATCCATAGGTCTGCTTCCGTGTTTCACAGACCTAGTCAGAGCTTATGAAGTGTTTCTTTCTTTCTAATCTGGTACGTGTATTAGGTGACAGTTACAAGGTTCTTAAGTCATAACTGACGGGCATTTTTCCCAAAGGGGGCATTCAGCTGTATATTTTAACTCGGTATTTGTCAATTTGATCTCTAGGTCGGCTTTTCGTGATTCAAAAGACTTAAGATAGAGGTCAAGAGTGTTGTGTTCCTAACCATTGGTACATGCATTATTTTACAGGCATACGTTTCGTTATGCAGGCATATTACTGCAACTCAGTGGGCAGTAGCATAAACGTACGCAAGGTTCAAACTCTACCAAGCAGACAGTTACGGAACCACTACAGGCATACCCCACATTCCTGTTGTAACACCAGAGCCTCCCACAAACGAAATTGCGGGCTCCTCCCAGTCCCAACCTGGTAATAATACTCCCACCAGCTTGGGGTCTCAGGTCATTAACCCGGCCCACATGGTACTGGCAAACCTCAAGAAAGACATCCTGGAGGGCAAAGACGTTAATCTCGTCTCGCTTCTCATTGCCTCCCAGGATGTCATCGAGAATCGCTCCTACTCATACAGCGACATCTCAGTGCTCCTAAAGGCTAGAGACCCAAGACTGAGCAAAAAGTTTTCCATCCCTGACTTTGTAATTGCCTTCGGGATTTACAGGGATGTGCTATGTTCGGTGTACCCAAATAGAAGAGAGAAACTAGACCTGTATATGCACAAGCTGGTGGACCTGGGCAACAAATACGGTGGTTCGTCTTTCTACGACTACCACCGTTCATTTGCAACAAAGGCGTCAACAGCTCTGGCCCAGTACAACACAAGGATGGATTGGAGCCAACTGGATACAGAGCTGTTCCTTAGACACTTTGCTGGGCTAAGGTCCCCAGCTTGTGCAATATGTGTGGCAACCACACATTCCGCTAACCTCTGCCTGGTTACGCTGGACTCTACCCCAACCACTGCCATCCCAAGCCCCTTCTAAGGCAGAAAAAAAAAAAAGGCAGGGATAAACTGGGTCGCCCAATTGTGTATCTAGGCAAGTCCCAAATTTGTAACAACTTTAACACTGGGGCTTGTGCTTATAGTGCATGTCCTCTGTTGCATGTATGCTCGCATTGTTTCAGGGCACACGCGAAAGCAATGTGCCCTAATAAAATGCATATGAAACCGTACCTAACTTCAGTTAATATTGACGTTCTGGTGGGGCTACTATCCAACCACCCATCTAAACATTTGGTTGAATATTTAGTTTCGAGTTTCTCCCAAGGTTTCCACACGGGTCTTATCTACATGCCGGGAGGGACTTGGGAATCTAACAATCTTCAGTCGGCCTTGACCGACACAGACGCAGTAGATACATTGCTACTGATTGAACAAGAAAAAGGGTTTGTGCTAGGACCATTCACTGAACCCCCTTTCTTTAGCTGGAGAACCAACCCTATTGGTTTAGTCATGGGAAAAAACACAAATAAGCAGAGACTAATCAAAGACCTCTCTGCGCCACATTCTTCGGTAGTTCCTAGTCTTAATTCTTTTATTCCCCTCTTAAGAAGCCTCCCTACAGTACGCTACCGTTGACGACGCAGTATCTACCATCATATCTGTGGGCGTAGGTGCCTGGCTTAGCAAGACTGACATTGTGAACTCCTTTAACCCCTTAAGGACCAAACTTCTGGAATAAAAGGGAATCATGACATGTCAGGTGTCCTTAAGGGGTTAAGCTACTTCCCATCCATCAGTCACTATGGCACCTGCATGGCATTAAATGGAAGAGCCTATATTACTTTTTTATGAAGCTCACTTTCGGCTCTAAGAGTAGCCCAAAGATCTTCTACACTTTTGCGGAGACCTTGTGTTGGCTGCTATTAAATACAAGCAGGTGCCATAGAGTCATCCATTACCTGGATGATTTTATGTTTGTAGAGAACAATACATCCCCCCCACGCAGTCTAAATAAGGCAGTACACTTATTTGACTCAATAGGGGTACCAGTATCTTAAAAAAAGACAGAAGGACCAGACACCGTAATACAATTTCTGGG